GAAAGAGTGCTATGCATCCACTACAAAAATGAGTGAGGAAAGTCAGACACTGTGTATAAGCTGCCCTGTTCAAGCTACTAACCATCCTCTCTGTGAACAATACACTTGATACATGTTTTTAACAAAGGAAAAACAAAAAAATGGGTGCAACAATCTTTCAAGATGCATGAGAGGTAAAGTCTATGAAAGGAAAGAAAACTTAAGTACAGAGAGAAGCAGCTAACAGAACTGATGCAAGACATGAGCAAGTAACAGCAAGACAAGGTGGCCAAATGCTGACCCCAGTGAGACTTTGCTAAGTGAAGCAAACAATTTGTCCAAATTTCCACCTCAAGGGTCACTTTTTTTTGGACACTAATAGAATTGTCACTCCTCTTCTGATGACTGGGATTTGAACAGAACTATCTGGAACATACATACATTACATCTTTAGGGGTCTGTATATATTAACGTTTGGTATATCTTCAGAGTTTTATTTTCTTCTGTTCAACTTATTCTTCGAAAGGTCAACAGGTACTGGTCTGTTGGAGGGTTTTGGTTTTCTTGTCTTTTTTTAAAAGATAAATTAAGCCAAGTGAATTCCTGGAAAAAATATTTCAGATGAGAAATTGAACAATCTTAGATGCACATATTAGGCAAAAATATATTTATGCAGGACTAATTCCAGTATGGAACATTGATTTACTATGTAGATTGCTGAACTCTCTTTCATCTGTCATTCTAGTTCATGCTAGTAGTTTGAAAAATAAAACAAATAATATTTTTAATAACAAAGGAAACCCTGCTTAAATTAAAAGCCCTTTTTAGCATTTGATGTTCAACTAAGCCAATGAAGGAAGATGTGGTGAAAGCAAACAAATATAAAATGTGAAGAATTTCACTCCATTTACTCCTGGTAAAAGTTGCTTAGCTTGATCTGACTGTTTAATTGATTAGAAAGCAGATTCAGCTCTCAAGTAAGTGAAAACTCCCTCTAATGGCAACTGTATAAAGGAAAAGTTTGGGAAAACGAAGAATCTCACTACATTTGAGATGTATTTTCAAATAGGCAAAATCTAGTTAGTTTTAATGGTTTTGAAAAGTGAAATTTTAGGTAGTGCCTAAGATCCACTGAAATTACAACAAATCTGTTCATACTTCTGACACAACATTTTGATGTGCTTTGTAATATGTCCTATATAAAATTCTACGTTACATAAAACATGTTTTCTCTAATGTATTTGTTGCTTTAACAAAGCAGCTTAGAAAAGCTCCCACTGCACCTTCACCCACCCATGAAAAGGGGCCTGCCACTCCCAGCAGAAACACTAAACACTTTCAGAGATACTTACAGAATCAGAAATTCACAGGGTTAGATGTATTCATAATAAAGCAAGCGTTTAACCTGTGCAGTGAGTGTAATAAAATCAGAAAATATTACATTCTGCTCACTAATACCAAATGTGTAATTGTCCTTAGAAAATAATAAAAATTAAGAACAAAGCACAGCTCCTTTCAACTGGCTAAGCACAGTCTGCAGGATAAAAAGATTAAGGAAGGAAGGGGACCAATGGATTACCAGTTAGCACTACATGTGCTAGCATATACATGTGATCTATATAGAAAAACTTGCAAAATCACCAACTCAGGGAGCTTCAAGCTCAGTCATAATAACTGGTTACGCCTTTTTCTACAACCTTAATGGCATTTCAGATTCCTAGGTAAATTCTGCTGGTTATCCTTCTTTATTTCGGCTATCCCTGCAAAAGACCATAAAATTAAAAAACTGAGAGATCATTATTTGATTTCTCCTTAGCAATGATGATTCTGAGAATAATTTATACAGCCTAAAGATCTTTTCAATTACCCCAACAATAGAATCCTAGGCCCTTGTTGATCAAAGGTGAAATGTTTTCAGAAGGGAAATATTCTAGGGGCTAGAAATCCAGAGTAAAGTCAGCTAAACATTTAAATTAAAAAATAAAAAATACATTTAAAAAGTAGCAGACCTTTTATTAAAAAAAAATACTTTTAAAAAATACTGGCTTTTTAATTGAAAAACTCACCAGATCCTCAAAACCAATCTAGTAACTCTTCTTCTTTGGAAACACAAACTTCTATAGAGAGGTGTGGAATAAACTAGTCTTTGAAGCTAGCATGCATGCTCCCTTCAAAATAAGAAAGGCATTTGGAATCTGACCAAATCCTTGCTTAAGTCATTTGTAAAAGTATTGCAAATTCATAGTAGCCTACGGGCACCACTGCTATTGGAGATCCAGAGCAGAAATTGCCACTTACCCCACCAAGATAACAAGTAAGTACATTGATAATAGCAGATAAAAGAATAACTATATTCTGAAAGTAGGTCATACTTGCCTGTGAGATACTGGAGACAAAACAGAGATCATTAATATGTCTATGCTTGTAGGTAATCTAATTTTATGAAATGGTTCTAAGTGCTGCTTAAAATAACACCACACTCTACGGTAGATACATGCAGTTTCATTTATTTTTCTTTATTAAATATATTTATTTTTTCATAAGAGAAAACATGCATATTTATGTACATATTTTTAAGATAAAAGAAATTATTACCATTTACAGTAGAAATTCTTCACAAATTTCTAAGACACAAGGCAGGCAGTAGCAATTCTGCACAAGGCAAAGCATACAAACTCTCTACACTCAAAGTATAGTGTATTCACTGAGAAACATTAGCAACTGCAGAGGAAGGTCGTTTAAGGATGGATTCAACTGAAAAAGACAGTGGCTCAGTTGCTGAAAGTTTTGTTGGGGCTTGTTTGGCCCCAAGGAAGTCTTTTGCACATTTGTCTTTTGTAAATTTGTACTTTTGGTTCTCTTTAATGGCACACTCTCTGTATTTCTTAGAAGCATCTTCAAAAGTCTCTTTCACAAACGATGTTCTCAGCTCTCCTCCTGATTTGTCAGGAAATGTTTGCTGGAACAGTGACTGAAATGGACTGTATTTGAGTGAAGGAGGGGGCTTGGTATTGTCTTTCCTGATCTTGCTTAATACCTGTTCCTGAGGAGGCACAGAATCGTTATCAGAAATCTGAGAGAAAGTCCTTTTTGGAGGAGAGAAAGCTGACCTCTCACGAGCTTCCTGAGGAAGGCACGGTATCCCATTACATTGCTGCTGAATGTCTTGTGTGTGGGTCAGAATGAGTGAATTTTCCAGTTTTGGAGGAATGCTGTCCTGTTCAGTGTTTGGACAGTCCTGACTTTGTGAGACCTTGGCATCCCAACCTGCCCCAGGTTTGAGAGCTTGGACAGTAGTAGCATTTAGCAGGCATTGCTGGTAGAGGAGAGCATCGCTAATGGGGCCACATTTTGGCCACACTAAGAACCTAGAAGACAGGGGATACTGCCTGTAGGTAGTAGCTACACTGACATTTGAAGAAATCAGTTCCATGTTGCTGGATCCTGAATACTGCATGGTTAGATCAAGGCAGGTTGGTAAAAAATTGCAAAACTCCTTGTTTGGAGTATCAGCTTGAGTAGTGTTGAAGGCTGTTTTATACGAGTTGTATTCAGCTCCATGCACCACACGGCTCGGGAGAAAGAGTGCAGCTGCTTGTGTAGCTTCCATCATCTCTCTCTCTTTATACTCTCTCTCTAGCATAATGTTCTCCAACTCTTTATCAGCAAAAGCCCGTCTCTTTCTCATCCTGTCACTTACAGGGGCTGGCAAGGGTGAATTCCCTCCCAGGTAAGGGTCTGTTGGAATAGGACGGTAACCTAAAACAATAAAGCAGCATTAGGAATTAATCTGCATCAGAAAAACATTAAAGCTGCGTTTGTAAAAGGGTTCCTTTTGGAGCCAGTCTCGCCAGGGTCCGAGCACTTGCTGCAGACCTCAACACCATCAGCTCCCATTGAAGTCGCCATGCCACAGAGGCTTAGCTCTCCAGTCATCAGGCACATTCAGTTCCTCAACACAGATAAGGAAGCCCTACTCCCCTGACATAGGCAGTCTCCTTCAAAGTGAACTGATTAGTAACTTTAAAAAGCAATTCCAAGACAGCAGGTGAAAGAAGGAAAAAGAAAAAGAGAGAGAAAGAAAAAGAGAGAGAAAAAGAAAAAGAGAGAGAAAGAAAAAGAGAGAGAAAAAGAGAGAGAAAAAGAGAGAGAAAAAGAGAGAGAAAAAGAGAGAGAAAAAGAGAGAGAAAAAGAGAGAGAAAAAGAGAGAGAAAAAGAGAGAGAAAAAGAGAGAGAAAAAGAGAGAGAAAAAGAGAGAGAAAAAGAGAGAGAAAAAGAGAGAGAAAAAGAGAGAGAAAAAGAGAGAGAAAAAGAGAGAGAAAAAGAGAGAGAAAAAGAGAGAGAAAAAGAGAGAGAAAAAGAGAGAGAAAAAGAGAGAGAAAAAGAGAAAAAGAGAGAGAAAAAGAGAGAGAAAAAGAGAGAGAAAAAGAGAGGGAAAAAGAGAGGGAAAAAGAGAGGGAAAAAGAGAGGGAAAAAGAGAAAAAGAGAGAGAAAAAGAGAGAGAAAAAGAGAGAGAAAAAGAGAGAGAAAAAGAGAGGGAAAAAGAGAGAGAAAAAGAGAGAGAAAAAGAAAAGGAAAAAGAAAAGGAAAAAGAAAAGGAAAAAGAAAAGGAAAAAGAAAAGGAAAAAGAAAAGGAAAAAGAAAAGGAAAAAGAAAAGGAAAAAGGCAAAACCTCCCTATGTATTATGACTGCATCATGCTGCTTAATGAGATAACCCTCGATTTTTAACAAATACAGGAAGTATTTAAATACTTTATTTCTCCTGAACTAGAAGACAGATTTGAATATAATGGAGACTGAAATTCTGTGTTGCATCAATTACCAAGCTAACTGAATTAATTTAAAGCAACTGATAGGATCCAACCCTATTTGCTCTAACCAGACAAGTAATCCCATTCAATTAATGGAACTACTTACATGAGTAAGGTTTCCATTCCTATTCCTCTCACCCGTGTTTCCCATTGCCAAGGAAGGTACCTATAACTACAGCTGATGCCTTTTCTATTTTCTAAAGGCGAATCACTACATATGCATTACTAAAGACTGTAGAAAATTCCAAGGAGAACTAGGAGAAAAGAAAAAGAAAGTTAAGATAAATTAGAGGAAAAGAATACAGAAGATTATTTTTTTTAGTGAACTGTAGATGAAAATCAGAGATTTCTAAGAGGACAAAATTTTAATTGTGCTTGCACAGACAAAGAAAAGAGTTTTCTATTTGAGGGAGGAAGCTAGATTTGAGAACTGTAATGCTTTGCAGGGCTACAGTTTGGAAAGCAATTAAAGCAGACATGGAGATAAACTTGGGGAAAAGAAGAGGGAGTGGGGAAGAAAAAAATACACCACGTCACAAAAATACCCATCTTTAAAATGTCATTCTTCTGTTAATATTTTCGACAGGAAGAAACAAATGAACAGCCTATTCTGTGTATCTTACTATTGATAATGCAGCAAATGGTGTTGCTGTGTTAGTCACGCACATCAAAAGGGGGAAAACAACAACAACAACAAAAATCCCAAACAACAACCAAAACAAAATTTTAAAAACCCCGAGTGATTTGCTCAATTGCTGATAAAAACACCAGCGAATAAATTACCCGGCACTACAAAACGCTGCTGACTAGTCATTTTAAAAGAATGTCAGCTTGTAACAGTAACTCTCAAATTTCAAATTACCGTTGCTAGCATTTCAGGCATTATTTTGGGCGGGGGCGAGAGAAGTACATGGGACTGAAATTCTGCCATATCGATTCCAGCCTGGAAGAGCAGGAGCCGCGGCCCGGAGGCTCCGGGGGCACG